GTGGTCAAGCCCTGGCAGCCGGCAGTTGGTTTTGGCGCTCAGTTCACAGTCCGGCCTGCAGAGCCGACCTTGGCGGGCGCACCTGCGGGCCGCTCCTGATTTGCTGGGACAGGCGTGGGCAGTATCTGGATCACTGAGCTAATGATCAAGGACAATGCCGACCAGTGAGAAGCCTCTGCCTCGGAGGCTAAGGCCGCATTACAATGGAAGTGTCAGGCGCTTTGAGCAGGAGGGGGTTGCAGCCGAGAAAGAAGGCCCTGGGGGAGCAGCTGTGACATTTTCCGCGCGGTTAGCTCCCCTCTCCGCAGGCCCCGCTGCCTGGGCCGCCGGGCTTTCTTCGCGGAGCTGGCTCCCCGCGCTCGGCCGTGGGGGCCCTTTCTCTCCGTCCCACGCTGCCCTGGCCGGTCGCGAATGGGCAGCTGTGAATGACGCCCTTCATTCTTCGCTTCGCTGCGCGAGTCCCGCGAGGGATGCAGCTGGCTGCGCGCTTCTCTTTTTAACAACAAGCGAAAAGGCGGGGGCGGGGGGGGGTGGCCCAGGAGGAGGCCCCTTTATAAAAATTGCAGTTTTGCTCATTGACAGGCGCGTCTCTGTGTTGTTCTCCGTGAACACACGTCTAAGCACAAGCAAATAAACAGAGTAAAATACCTGAACCGTTGCCTTGTCAGGCCAAGTGTCCAGAACCTCACGCCCGAGATACCGAGAATAGGAAGCAATTTCCTCCTCCCTACCCCCACTTGGGAAAGCACAATTAATTAAAAGCCGTTGCCGGCAAAACTTTCCGCTGTACACCACGAGGACCCGAGTCACTCACAGACCAATACTGTCCTCTCTGAGATTTGTAGGTAGGCCCACCGAACGCGACACAGATTCAGGAGCAGGACCGTTTGATGAATTATCCCTAAAACGGTGGCGGAGAGGCACGTACTAGGAGCATTTTTTCCCTCAGCGGTGGCAGCTGGCGCTTACCCCAGCGCAGGTTCTAATTCCTTGGCAGCGACCCTACCTGAGCCCTTCCGCGGCGACTCCAAAGGCACGAGCCCCGCCTGCAGTCCCGTGGCGGGGAGCTGACGGGCCACAGGAGGCGGAAGTGGAAAACCTCCAGCCGAAGACGTAAAATTTGTTCGTGATTTTTTTTTTTTTTAAAGTCCTCATCTTTTCTGGCTCAGCATCCTGGTCACTTACGCACCCACTGAGAAACCCCATCCAGGGCACAGGACCTATTTCAGGGCGAGACGGGCCGAGCGGCTGTGGGGGCCGGGGAAGCTGCACTCACCCCGCAGGCACCAAACCCGATCAACAGCGAAAGTGGGCAGCCGTCCCCCGCGCAGCCGCCCGACCGCCGCTGCACAGCAGCCCCTGGCCAGCGCGCCTTGTGCACCGTGTGCGAGGCAAACGCGAAGTGGAGCCAAGGCTGACACGTTAGGCTCAACGCCATAAAAATCCTGGAGGAAAACCCAGGCAGGAAAAGGTCGGACGCTGCTCCTCGCAAAACGTGTTCTGACACGCTCTCCTCCGGCAAGGGAAACAAAAGAAAAAATAAACAAATGAGACGACATCCACTAAAATGTTCTTACACAGCAAAGGAAGCCGTCAGCACCATGAAAAGGCAGCCCACTGAGTGGGAGAGCAGATCCGCCAAGGACACATCCGATAAGGGGTTAATACCCCAAATTTATAAAGAGCTCCGACAAGGCAACGCCAGGAAAACAAATAATCGTGGGCAGAGGGTCTGACTAGACATTTCTCCAAAGAGGGCACACGGATGGGCAATAGACATAAGAACAGTGGCTCAAAATCACGCATCACCAGAGAAATGCAAACCGAAGCCACACTCAGATGCCACCCGATGCCTGTCAGAGTGGCTGTCACCGGTACAGCCACGCAGAGAGCAGTGCTGGGGGAGGGTGTGGAGGAAGGGCCCGGGCTCTGCGGGCGGGGGCGCGGGCGGGCGCAGCCGCGCGGGGCGCCAGGGTTGGTTCCTCAAAATACTACAAACGGAGCTGCCCGTGGGGCTTCCACCCGTGGCGGGGCTGGGCCGGCCTGTCACCCAGGAACTGCGAGACTCCCGGGCGCAAGTGCAGCTGAGGACGGTGAGGGGACCTGCAGCAGCTGCCGGAGGGCCTGGGATGGGGGGCGCGGCGGCAGGGAGCGGGGCGCGGGACAAGCGCCCTGGAGAGGACACTATGACCGACTGGTTGCCTCCTGGTTCCCACAAGCGCCTGGGCAAGGCGGACCGGGTCTCGTTTACAGGGGATGGTGGAGCCCGTGGTTTCCAAGGTCCTTTTGGAGTGTAACGCGATATTCCAAGCCCCCTCTGGGCTGCACGAAGTGACTGTTGCCCTTTTATGCGTGGGTATGCGTAGATCTCCTTGCCTCCCCGCCTGCTCAGAGCTGTGAACAAAGGAGAGGCATTCACAGCGAGCCCAAGGCTTTCTCACATGCTTTTCTCATTTAACGCCTCTGTTAATATCAGAATCATCTTCATTCACTTGGGTGTCTCTTACATGTCTATTCTTTACAATGAACATGTATTATTTATTTCCATCTACAACAGAAATGGATAGAACTCAACGAGGAGTGTGCAAACCGAAGTAGTACATCCTCCCCACCCGGGGGACGCAGCCTAGGGAAAGGGTGGGCTCCCAGCCCCGCGTCCGCGTCCGGGGAGCCTGGGCCTTGCCCAGCGCCTCGGCCCGGCAGAGGCCAGGCAGAATCGAGAGCGGGATGAGTCTGAAGACAGACGTGACTCACGCTATTTCTTTAGTTTTTCATAAATTCCCGGAGCATAAAAATACCCAGAGGTTAGTAAAATGAACGCGGCTCAGGAAAAAGGAGTGGTTTGACATCGCAGTTAGTTGTGAATTATCTTTCTGTGCAGCACCTTGGATCAAGACATTTACATTGAGAGACAGAGACAAAGAGATAAATATTTTTTCAGGCGCAACCGTGTATAGAAAAGAAAGCTTTTACACGTGCCCTTCTCCCTCTGAAAGGAGGGCGTCCAGGCTGTCAAGGAACAGTGAGCGAGGAGCCCCCGTTTGCCTCTATGGAGGGAGGGTAACATTCCTGACAATCAACAGTGGGCGGAGCTACAGCGCGGGGGCAGGGCAGTTGGAAGTCACATCCCGAGGGCCGTTCTGCCTGATTCTGGGGGCGGAACGCAGGGGTTCCTCAAACTGCTAGAGCAGAACCTCGCATCTTCCTGCAAGTGTGGTGGCGCCCCGGAGCCCAAAGGTCCCACGGCCCTGGCCTCAAACTAAAACACTAAAGAGGAATTTCTTCTGTGCGTGGCCTTTATTTTGGGACCCAGAAACTCTTTTTAAATCGAAAAACACCTAGGACAGATAGCATAACATGGTATTATTCACTAATATCTTTTTAGGGGTGAAATGAATTTCTGATGAATTTCAGAAAAAGATGGGGGACAGGAATAAACCAGGGTGCGGCTTCTTGGAAACTGTTCCCTGTTTATCTCAAGGAAAACATTATTTCTGGTGCTGTGTTCCTGGCATGGAACTGTATTATAACGTTCAATATATCCTATAACCTGCATTATAGGGATACGTCCTCACGCCTGCCTCTCCCATATTAGAAACCCGAAGACGTGGCCTTTGTAAGTCCCCCACCCCCAGTTCCTAGCTCAGTTACTGGCGTGCCGAACACATGCGGTAATGGCCTAGTAACACTTAATGACATCGTCACATTTATTTTACAATCATACATTGTTTTAGTAACTTGAACCTACCTTTCAAAAAAGAGAAATTAAACATTTGGAGTAAGCCGATTTAACCCTTCCTAGACCAGCGCTCAAGCCTATCCATCCGCAGGCAGACCGCAGTGGGAGGCTGCATCTTAACCTGGTCTTGCTTCTAAGAGCAGAGCTACGCCCGAACTGCAGTCCTCCACGTCTACGAAGTCACACTTGAGAGGAACAAAAACACCTGCCTCTCCTCACTGTCCTCCTGTTGGCCACACTCTCTTGCCAGTTGACTTCTCTTTAGAATTGGAATTGTCACCGAGATCACAGACACGCCAAGGCCACTCTGAGTACGGAACGCCCCTTCATATTAGATAAAATTAAACACAAAGCGTAATTTTTTCACTAAGTAACTAGCATTGCTGGGGAATTCCATTACAAAGGCACAGTAGAATACTTTCTAAAGCAATTTCTCTTAGAAGGTCAAAGTGATTAACGAACGCGAAGGTGTTAACTCCCAAAATATCCCCGTGAGAACTTGGACGCTGAGGACATAAAGTGAGAAGTCAATGAGGAACGACTTGTCCCACGTCAGTGGTTTGACGGGAACAAAAACCTAAGTCCACGTATTTTCTACTGGAATTGCTTGACCTCTTGCTTTCCAGTGTCTCGTTCCCAAGGAACTAGAACCTTCCAGGGTGAGAGGACCATGGCTCTGAGAGGTCCTGATACTTTTTACAGACTCGACTTCTTGGCATGTGCTATAGTCGCGAGCGGAAGCCAAATGCGGGACAACGAAGCGGAGTCTGAAATGCCTGGGCCTGTGCGCGGCCCAGCATCTCCTAGGTTCAGCGTTCGCCCCATCACGCAACTGAGAACATTTCACCAAGCACCGCAGGCTCTTGACGGAACCTCGGCTTGGCACCAAGACTCTGAGGTGACACGGAATCAGGTCCCCTCCATCACAGCCCGGAGAGAAAAGCAATGAGGAAGAAATGCCACAAATAACCCGCTAGCTCTGAATGGATCTAGTGACTGAGGGCTGAGAGGACACGTGCTGTTCGCCAGGCCTGACCGGCGGGTCAGGAGGGGCCTGTGTGACGTGTGGCCCCTAATGAACAGGCACGGTCCTCAGGGCACAAAGTGGGTTTGCGAAAGGCAGTGCTGCGCACGGCGTCTTCGATACGGGAGCTCTTCACCGAGGCAACCAGTCAGGACAGAGTGGCTAAACACGCAACAACATTCGGTACGAAACACAAGAGCGTTTACATACACAGTTAAAAGAAGGAGGGGTGCGAACATGCTGGGCTCTTACCCCTATCGTTCCAAAGCTTTCCGGCTTCCTTCTCATCTTCTTCTTGCACAGGTGCGTCCATATCCACTTGACCAGGTACCAGAGAGACTTGGGGCTCGGGATGACGTTGAAGGGCGTGGGCAGGGTCCCCCCTTCTTCAAAATAGCTCATCCAAAGCTTTGTTCGAGCAAACTTCCACTCTATGTCCGCGTGGTCCTGCAGGCAAGAACAGGGCGGCTGTCGACGGGCCTCCTGGGGACGCAGGCCGGGGGGGCCTGGCTCTCCGCAGCCCTCGGCCCGTCTCGCCATCGCTCAGGGACACAGCGCTGAGCCCTGGGGAGAGTCGCCCGGGCCTCCCGGACAATGGCTTCCTCTGGCGAGGAGTCGCCGCCCCCTCGCCCTCTTCGCCCTCCCCTCTTCCGCGGACCAGACGCCAGCAATCACGACGGCCCGAGGGGCTCAGGGGCTGGCTCGCCCGGAGGAGGGAGCTTTCTGCCCTGCGTCGTGGGGCCACGCGAGCTCAGTTTCTTTAGGCTCTGGCCACCAACTAGCCTTGAACCACTCCCCTCCCTGCCTCCATGAATGTCACCTTCGTGGGTGCTCACGGCGGAGCCTCCTGCTGTTCCCAGGAAAAGCCCAACTTGATACCCTTGCCCAGGAATCATCCCCGTGGGCAACAGGCGTCAACTCAGAGGGAAGTTCCCCTGACCAGGGCACAGGGGCGACTCGGACGTGCCATTGACCCTGGGCATCGCCCTGGCCCGATGGCACCAGAGGATGGTCTGGCTGGTGGGGGCGCACAAGCCGGAGGTCACCCCCCATCGTCACGAAGCATCATTGTCCTTTATTTATCTCCTGGGAAACTCCAGGGCACGGGTGGCCATCGGTCAGAGAGCAGCCAGTCCCCTCCGAAATCAGCCACGAGTGGGTTTAAGCGGAAAACCTGGGAAGCAGGAAGTGCTGGCCACAGGCAGACACACAGTGGCGGACCGCGAGAGGGCTCCTTTCAACCCATCGCGATGACGGGAAAGGCCTCAGGGGTTGGGGAGGACAATACGAGGCCGTGCATCGTTCCGATGCTCCTCAACTGCTGCGCGCCCGTGAAGGCGTGTGTTGTAAACGTATTTCTACTGTGGACAACACGGCGTTCGGTCCTGGCACCGGATGAACGGTGCTTTCCACAGGAGGCGCGGCCTCCGCGGCTGTTTGGCCAACGTCCGGTGGGAGGCACCAGTCAATATCCGGGAGCACAGGGGCTGGTGTTCCTCCCCTTCCCCCCGCCCCGTTCCCGCTCCTCCTCTTTCTTTCTAAACAAGCTTACAGGCCCTGGCCGGCGGCTCGGGGGGCTGCAACATTGTTCTGATGGGCCAAGGCTGTAGGTTCGATTCCTGGTCGGGGCACACGCAGGAATCAGCCACTGCGTGCACGAAGGGGGCGGAACAACAAGTCGGTGTTTCTCTCTTTTTCTCCCTTTCTCCTGCTTCTAAATTAAAGCCAGCACTTGAAAGTACAGATTGTTGGCTGCGGCCATGGAAAAGGGGACTTCGGTGCTAAAAAGGCGGTGACTTGGAGGAAGCAGCGGCCTGTGAGCGGCTTCTGCGCCTCCTGGTTCTCCGGTGGTCCCAGGGCACGGGCTGCCTTGGCCTCAGCAGGCGCTTTTACTAAAAGCTCAAAGCAGGCGCTCCCTCGGCCCCTTGTTTGGGATCCTGGGGGAGTCTCAACAACGTCTCCAAGGATTGGAAACACTGGGAGCGGACAGTTCTAGGCTGGGGGTGACTAACCCCCTTCCGCTACGCACCTCCTAACTGACCCCTGCGCTCAGGGGTCGGCTCTGGGAGGACGCCTGTCCCCGCCGCCATCAGCCTCGGCCAGCCCCTCCCCCACACGCCTGGTCTCCTGTTCCGTGCCCTGAGCACACTCTCGACCCCCTTCTCTCAGTATTGACATTACTAACTTACTTTGTTCCTACTACGTGACAATTTTCTTGAGGGCAGGGACTTCCCTGTCGGTGTGTCCCTAAAATCAAGCAAGTGTCTGGCATATATTAGGGTGCACCGTAAATATTGAAGCAAAGAACCAATGAGCGACAAGCAGGGTTAGATGTGGCTGCCATGATTGATTTTTGCCTGTTAACTATTCGACTGCCCTCATTTTTCATGCTTTACCTTAAAGCTCTGAGTTAGGACTAGCAGGGCCGAGGAGAAGGTCCTCGGGGTGCAGTGTGATGTTCTGGGATGGCGGGGATACAACCCTGGGCGGGTCCTCCAAGGAGGCGGGGAGCACCCCGGCACAGCCTGCAGCGCCGGCTCTCCTCTCAGGGAGTCTCCGCGTGCGGCCGGACAAAAACAGGCATGGGAAGCCCCTTCTCGTGTCTGTGAGAAGCAACCTAGGAAGACCCGCTCCACAAAGCAGCAAAAAGAAAATGCCATGCTGTTCTTGAAGAGTGTTCTCTTACTGGACTCGGTATGTTTAACGTTTTATAGAGTCCAAATCGGAGAGACAGCGCCCCTGCCTATGGCTTTATAGTTAGAGGCTCCCTAATGGTTTTGAAGGCTGGTCGGGAAGACAGACCCACCCTGCGGAAATGTGGCGATGAGCGGAATGCAGAAGCTCTGCAGCGAACATGGGGGGACTATGTAAAAACCTGTAAGATGCTTAAACGAAGCTCCACGAATTTAACCATTCACACGCAAATCCTAGGACCCAGATAGATCCGAGTGTGACTATGTTAGACTGTGAATCGGAAAGTAAAAGTCATTTTTCTTCTGTTTACCCGATTTATCATTTGTGTCGTGTACATAAAATCCAAACATTGAGTCTCAAAATAACGATAGCAATGCTTCAGCGTCTCAGCAATAGATTCCAAGATGCACTATGACTGTAGCTCTTTGTGGAGAAAATGGGCAGCCTACCATTATCCTCACAACGTGACACTTGCCCAAGGTACAAATCGTAAAGACTTAGAAAATGCCTTTCAGTCCAGTACGCTTTACGTGGTCACTCGTGGCCGGCCAGGGACACACGCCCACAGCAGGGAAGGGCCAGCACGCAGCAGGCTCTGTCTTCCTTGTCGTCGCTGTGTGGCCAGGTCCTAGGGCAGAACCTGGCAGCGGGGTAAGAGCTCAGGAGAGTTTGCAGGATGAGCGAGCGAAAACTCGCACTAAGTGCTTGGGTCCCAGAATTTCAATTAAACACACACGGCGTTGCCCGTGCCGCTACAGAGTTCAGGGTCGCTCCTGCCTGACTTTTGCTAGGCTCTCAGAAGCGACAAATCCTGTGATTTTTTCCCCCCTCAGACTCCCCCGTGGGTTGTCTTTTGTGTCTTGCCAAGAGGGCCCGAGGTTGCGTAGATGCAGGTTGTAGGGGCAACGGACAGAGGCAAGGCAAAGTTCAAGGGTCACGGCACAGGCATAAGGCGCCTGTTCCTGATTCGTTCCTCGCCCCCTGCTCACCGCAGCCAACGACTGCCTGGTAAGGCAGACTTAGTTTACCTTATAATCCCATCTATTGTGATACCACTAAATTAGGAAATAGCTAAATACAGCGAAGCCTGCTAAGGGCCTTCAAATTAACCGTTTATATTTCACTACTGTCTTATCAATTACAAACCTTATTTCCAATGACAACAGGTTGAAGCATAGCTAAGAACAATGCCTTCTGGGGGGAAATATTGAATTAAGATAGAATTAGTCAACTTACAGCAATGAGTTGGTAAGAGTTATTCATCATAGCTATTAACATGTTGAGCAAGACAACCAGAGAGATGACGTTGTACGTCCCAAACATGGTGGCACCAACAAACTCGGTGAATTCGTGCTGGGCTTTCACGTTGGTCACGTACAAATTGATGAGCCCAAATATGGACCAAAACAGGGACTGGAGTGTCTCAAATAACCTGGAATAAAGACACAGTGGCACCAGTGGCTCTATCAATACAACCAGTGTACAATGAGATATAACAGTAAGGTCTGGCTACGGTTGTGTGTATGTGATTAACTTGAAGATACATGTCCTATCCTGGGATTCTACCCAAAACATTTGAAAACATTTATTCGCTAAGATAGATGCACCCCTATGTTCATTGCAGCATTAGTCATGGCGGGCGAGACACAGAGGCAACGGAGGCGTCCTTCCAGGGAGGACCGGCTAAAGATGGGGCGCACAGAGATGAGGGAACACCAGCCAGTCCGAGAAAAGATGAGACGCTGCCATTGGCAGCAACACGGATGGACTCTGAGGATATCGTGCTGAGCGAAGTCAGTCAGAAAAAGCCAAGAACCACATGGTTTCATGCATACGTGGGATATAACACTGAAAGCAACACATGAACAGACAAGGCAAACAGACAACAGTGTGGCGGTGACCAGAGGCAGCGGGGGCTGGCGGGTAGTAAGGGCGTAAAGCGGTCAAATGCATGGTGATGGCGGACACTCAGACTTTGGGCAGTGGGCGCACAATGCAACACACAGATCACATGTCACAGAAATGGACACCTGGAACCCAGGTGATCTTATTAACCAATGCTACCCCCACACACATAATAATAAAAAACAGTATCTTAGCTCGCCTTCCGTGAGGCCATTTCGAAAGAAACGACCATTTTACTCCACTTCACTAAAACTTAAAATACATATACTGAACTTTTTTTTAAGCAAAGGAGCCTTATATCCCAAGGCTCGCCGATTCTGTGTTCTGCCCTAAGCATAACTTGCTCGGCAGCCCCTGGTCCCGGATTTTTCGAATCCCTAACGCGGCGCGTTCCGAACGCCGCCCAACCGCCCCGAGAGAAGCGCTCGTCCGACTCACGTGGAGAACGCGTTGTTCTGCTTCTCGCACCGTATGCCTTTGCAGCCCTGCTCCTTCGTCTCCTCGTAGTAGAAGTACAGCTGGTTGAGGCCGTTGGCGAAGGCCAGCAGCACAAGGCAGTAGATGAAGAGGAACTTCAGGATGTCCAGCAGCATCCGCCCCAGAGAGATCTGCAGCGGCCCCAGGTGCGAGTTGGCCGTGAACAGCGAGATGAGGCGCAGGGAGCTGAAGATGTTGGCGATGGCGAACAGGGCTTCGGCCACCAGCGTGGGGTGCCACATGTCCCAGGTGTCTCGAGGGTTATGGGCGCTGTACTGGAGAAGGGAAGGACACAAAGGGAGCGTGAAACCAGCCCACCCGGCCGCGCAGGCCGAGCTCAGGCCAGGGTGCCCGTGCAGGCAGGTCGAGCCCTGGGGCCTGCCGGGGGGAAGCCGAGGCCGCAGGATGAATCTGCGCGACAAGTCAGGCTCCTGGAAGTCGTTCGCAGTTTATACACTTCCGCGAACGTGCCTTCCTCATCTGTCCTCGTCCCTGGGAGCATTCATCAATATGCAAGGGACATCTGTCCGGGCCCCTCCAACGGGATTTTGAAAAAAAAGGAAAGGGAAGCGTGACATGGCGGGAAAACTCTGGCTTTATACTGGGAAACACCGCAGTAGCATTTGAACAAAGAAAAATCACATGATAAGTGAAAGGCGCTACATTTCGAACACAGTCGTCGACGGCTTTACTCACCGTATTTGACACAGTTGCCTAGTCCGGAGGAACGCGTGTAGGATACAAGGCACGGCTACACGGTGGGAGGCGCTGCCCGTGGCCTTGGAAACAGCCCTGCGCAGCGCGGGCGGCGTGGTCAGGGATGGCGCTTAGCAGGGAAGTCATACTGGAGGCCAAAGAATCGCTCAATTCTCATATTTAATGTGTAACGTGATGTTTACCTGAACATTCCTTAATGCTATAAAACATGCGATTTGAGAAGAATATTTGCTACATTAAAATCTGACCAGCAATTATTTGAAAAGAGTTAAAAATCAGCTGTGAATTATCTTCATGTTGAGAGCTACCTAGAGAGCACCATGTGTTCCTTATAGCACTGAAGCAAACTTGTTTCCTTCTCTAAAACAAGGGTCAGATATGCTCTTTGAAATATTGCATTATAAAGACCTACTATATTATATTTGTGTCAGAAATGAACAAGAAATCGAATTCTCTTCTTCATACACATCGCTAAAAACACGTCTGAAAGACTGCATCTTTTTTTTCCTGTCAGAAAAAAACTTTTTATTTCCTTCTGAGTCCGTCAGAGAATTGCCTTTCTCTTTATATTACATTTTCTACCAAAGGCCTTTACAGCTCTTAATCCATTGGAAACTAATTGATAGTGATTTTTAACTCCCTGGAAAAAAATGCAGCAGAAGCCCCCGACTTCGCTCAGTAAGGAGGCTCCCGCCCGAGGCCGGTTGCAGACACCCCGTCCGCGCGGGGCCCCCTCCCGCCCCCCACCTCCTCGCCCGCGCTTGTCTGTGGGTGCACCGAACATAGGCGTGTCCTCAAAAATGGAGCTGCCCTGTGACCCAACAAGCCACTTCTGGGAATTTACCTGAAGAACCAAAACACTGACTCAAAAGAACATATGCCCCCTGGGGTCACTGCAGCATCACTTGTAAGAGTCAAGGTTCGGGAGCCGCTCAAGGGCGGTGCGCGGGTAGGAAGCGGCGGTACGTTTGCCCAACGGGATCCCACTCCGGTGTAAGAAGGAAACCTCACCTTCTGCGGCAGCGTGGACGGACCTAGGGGGTATTACACTGAGTGAAATGGGCCAGTCCGAGAAAGACAAATGCCATAGGACCTCCCTTAACTGTGGAATCTAAAGAACAAGATAAACTGATGAGCAACAGAGACATAGGCTCACAGATACAGAGAACAGCGGTCGGGGGCGGGGGGTGCAAAGGAGTGGGACTGAGCTGAAATAAGCGTGCAGACGGAGGACAGTGCGGTGACGACCCCCGGGGCGGGGGGCGGGGGAGGGGGGAGGGTCCGGGGTACGTACATGGTGGCCGACGGAGACCTGACTTGGGGCGGTGAGCACAGTACAATACACAGATGGCGTGTCCCAGAACTGCACCCCGGAAACCGGTACAATTTATGAACCAGTGCCGCCCCAATAAAGGCAACACGCGTTAAAAAAAAATTAAAAAGCTGAAAAAACCCATTGAATCTGAACCAGAGGGAGGTTTTAGTCTATTTTGAAATCCTTGTGACTGTCCTTAAGTGTCCCCACGTACAGCTCTAGCAGAGAGCAGGCGATGACGGACGGGAGGGGCGGATGAGAACTTCGGGTGTTAGGGGCGCCCCCCAGCCAGCGCCAGGGCGGGGGTGCGTGGTCCCTCACGCGGTGCTTCGTCTCCTGCTTCTAAGACCAAGGTCACAAGCGCCTCCTTTTCTCACTTCTCTCGGGAGACACCACGTGTAAGCAGAGAACAGCGCCCCCTCTGTTGAGGGCTGATGTTGTGTTTCTGTCTGTCTGTCTGTCTCAGCACAGGCCACGTCTCCGGCCGTAGAGAAGAGGCCCCGGCACGCGCGCGTGAGGATCTGACCCTCCCCCGGGACTTCCTCACAGCCTTGCACACGGGGCCCGGCGGCTCAAGATCCGCGTCGCCTCATCAAGTTTTCACGGTCCAGCGAGGAGGACGCGGACGCGGGGGGACGGGGCAACTCGCTGTAGCAAGAATGCGCTCAGAGGGGAGGGCGAAGGGCTGCAGAAAACAGGGCAGAGCTGGGAGCCTCAGCCGGGGGCCGATCGGAGACGCACCGCCGCTTCGCCGCCAGGGACCCACGTCCGGCAGAGGCGCCGGCCCCTGTTCCAGGCTTCACGGCTCTTCGAGGCAGCTGGACAACGGCGATCTCAGCTGGGATTTCCAAAATCGCGAGGGGGACGCGCCCCACTTTACAAATCCTGAAATGCTAGGTCCTGAGCAAACGCGCTGGCGCCAGGGTCAGGGAGCGATCGCGGGCCCACAGGCCTGGCAGGCTGACCACAGGGCCTCCCGAGAGGCTCCGAGCACCCCCTCCCCGCCCCCGGGGCCTCCATGACGGGACAGCAGCCGCAGGGGCCCGGCCTCGCGAGGGCCTGTGTCTAGTGTAGACGCGAAAGTCTCTCCCCTCCTGCGGGGGGCGGGCGCCTGCGCGGTCTGGGCCCCGAGACCCCTGCCCTCTGGGCCCTCTCCTCTGCGCCAGCCGTGGAGGCAGCCCCTGCCCACCCCCCCCCCGCCCCGTTGCCCTCTCAGGGACCGGCTCCCGCGACAGGCGAGCGACTCGCCGGGGAGCGGCCTCCCGTTGATCCCACCTGCTTCATGGTTAGCAAATCTCTTCTGTGCGGATCCTACCTTCGCTTCTTTCAGCCCCGCCTTCGCCTGGCGCCCCCATGTCCACTGCCCTACGGCAGGGTCCTCGTCACGGGGCGCCCTCTCTTTATGTGCAGGAAAAACCCCAGTTGTCCCGCAGGCGGCGGGACCGTCCCTCCCTGGCCTGGACGCTCTGTGTGCGCTGGGACTTCGCACGCACTCCCCGTCGCCTGTGTAACTCCAGGGCGGCGCTAGCCAGGCGCAGCTCCCTCCCAGGGGCACCCTGGCCTCAGAGGCAGGCCCTCTGGCTCCGTGCAGGCGCCTGGCCGCCTGGGTGCCTCTCCCCGGCCTGGGCCCCCCACCTCCGCCTGGCTGGGGGCTGCCGGGAGGCGGGGCTGTGTCTCCGGCCTCTGCGCTCTCAGCAGCCAGGTCCCCGGCCGGCATCCCTGTGCGCCCCGCGCCCCGTGAGCGCTCACTGATCGGCTCCTGTCCTGGCCGTTCCCCTTACGAGAGCAGGGTCTGGTTCTGTCCACAAACAGCCACCTTTTCCAGAGACGGCAAGTTCTGAGTTATTTACAATGAGCGTGAAAAACTGAATGATACACCAGAAGGTGGTAAGTACGGGAGTCCAGGCCCGGAGCTACGCAGAGCTCAGCGTACACAAGGTACGGCATATAAACATGTATCTTGGGGTGAATATTGTACCTAAGAAATGCACGAGAGGTCCCTTTTGGAGCCCATGCGGTGCTTCTCCGGGCCACCGAGCAGACTCCCCTGGCCCAGGGCGGCCTCACAGCAGCTACAGCCGCGCCAGGGGCGAGCCCGCCAGAAACGCGAACTGAGGCCCTGGCCGGCCCTCCGCCTGCCGTCTCGGGGAGGAATGAAAGGCGGCGGGGCTGTTCGCGCTCTGGGTGATGCCGAGGTGAGAGGGCGCCGCTGTCTCCCTGTAGCACGGGGACCTTGTAGGTACCTGCACAGGCCCTCAAAGGGACACCCTTGGCTTGCGTTGAGGTGTCGAAAACCAGCCTGCACCTCTGCTTCCTTAACAGTCCTCGCCGAGAACCGAGGGAAGGTAGAGGCGTTGGCAGACAGGCTGCCTACCTGCCCGACGGAGGCACGGCTCCGGGGTCAGACGACGCCTTCCGCTCTCTGCCCACGGCCGTCAGGGGCAGGCGCCTCAATGCTACCAAGAAAAATCACCAAATTACGTGTTCGTTGTTGCAAGAATAGCTTGCCTTCCATGGACTAGGGAGGAGACCCTTCCCCCGAGGGTTTTGGATGCGTGCCGGAAGCCTTGCAACTGAGCAAATTCTAGGGACCATGGTCTTTCCGACGGGGGCGGGGGCAGAGGCCGCACAACCTCTGGCCGCTCCTTGGGAAACTCTAATACAGGAATTCGCTCGCCTCCACACGCGCCTTTCCGAGCTCGGATCGCCACCTGGCATGGATCACGCCTAGTGAGACGCTCTTCCCTTGTTACTACTTCACTGCTACTTTGAAACGCATTTTTTAAAAAGATAAAAGAGGGACAACGGCAGGTAGAAGGAGATGACAGTACCCTGCTTACAAAAACACCCCCCAAAGTATGAAATAATCCCGGTTGTCGCTGCAGGACAGAACTGTCTACGGGACGTGCGTGGCTGGCGTCGTACAAATCCGGGGGGTGGGTGTGAGGGGTTTCGGGCCCTGAGTGGGGCGAGGAGGGAAATTACATTCTGCTGAAATACTTTCAAACTGTATGAGTTTAAACTGAAATAATAACTGCGGGGCTTTGAAAGAATAATATTTCGACCTATGTAATCTCATCATCAGTTAGTTATAACTCATAAAAATAGATGGCTTTTTTTTTTTTTTTTTTTTTTGGCCAGAATTTAAAGTGTTTGAGGCAAGAGCTTCATTAGAAATCAAAAGGAGTGGACACGGGAGGGAGCGTCGCGAATAATTCCGGGACCTCGTTCCGGCACAGCGGGGAAACCGGGCGAGAACACCCAGTTGCCCGGCAACTTTGTTTCCTCACTCCCAGTCGTGTCCTGACCGCGGCACTTCCTGCCTCTCACTCAACGCGCCCCGAGCTCGCGCGCATCCCACGCAGACCGAGGACACTCCGCGGAGCCGCGGTAATGAAATCGGCAGCAGCGGAAGGCATATCGCGTTTACGGGGGTCGGTGCCCCACAGCAGCATGAGCCATAGCTACCTTCACAAACGCCACGATTTTCAAGGAGATGGTGGCCAGATACAGGGAGTTCATCACGAAGTCCATCAGGTTCCACCAGTCGTGCACGTAGTCCTGGAGGCCACCGTCCCACATCTGCTTGATCTCCCCCCAGATGAAACCTGCAACGACAGGAGAGCCGCGGTCAGCGCGCTTTCCAATCCAGCGGCGCGAAACCGGCTCGCCGTGGAAGAAGAGCAACGGCGCCTCGGGGCTGGGAGCGGCCGCACACCGCAGCCTGCCGTGGGCCAGGCGCCGGAGAACGCACGTTCTGGGCCCAAACTTTCAGGGGGAAAAAAACCTTGCGTTTTCCTTTTTTCATTCAGTGTGTTATTCAGTTATATTTAGAGAGTCGTCGTTTGCACTATAAGGGACGGTCCGCATGGATTTTTGAACATGTTATGGTGCAAGGAACTGGATGTGACAAATAATTTCAGAACAGGAGAACAGGTAACAAGGTGTTTCAAGTACCACCCCTGGACAATGCACATCCTTCTTTTCCCCTCAAACATTTAGGCCAAAACGTGCCCATTACACGCGGCACAACACGGCAGCGGCCATCGGGGGCCGCCTCCCTTCCCGGGGTCTGGCTCACGGCGGCCGGACGGCGGCCCGAGCTGCCCGGCTCGCTGTCGCCTGCACGCGTTGGAGAAATTCATACGAAGGTAGAATTTTCCCACCAAACTGATTCCTCTTCAACTACATATTTTTTTTTTTCCATGAAACATATCATAACATCCACCTGTAAACAACCACTAAAGGACGTTCTTCATCCCAAGTCAGAAACGGCGTGTCTCGCCGGCGCGCCCGGCTTCGCCCCAGGGCACCGGGCGCTGTGCTGCTGTGCGTTTGTACGCGCTCGGCGCCTCGGAAGGTCTGATCTCAGCCACGTTCGCAGCGCTGCCTTCCACACTGAGCAACAGTGGCCGCATTCACGGGACCTCATGCCCTCTTTAGCAATCGCTTTAAAAGCCACATCCAGAGAAAACAAAATCCCTTCTCTTTACGACGGCTAGGTTTGCAATGGGAAATGTTCTCTCTTTAAATCCGAGGAAGTACTGGTAAAATGTCGCTGGATACCATTGTTCTGTTTTCATAACCTTATTGAAATTTTATAATTCTGTTTTTAGAGCCCAGTGGTGAGAAGGATATGTCAAAGTATCTAGAATCAGGAAGTGTTAAAAGAATGCATATGACTTTGTAAGTACCTTAATACAAGGAGATAATAGGAGTCTTTTAGGAAAAAAATGTCAGCCTGGAAAAACCAAACGGGTGGCCCCAAGCTCCACACCTGTCTGACCGTAAAAGCATGAGGAGCCAGAGGAACTCTGGAATCGTAACTTCCCGTGAACCCGTGGGAGAGGCGAGCAACCGAGGGGCGGGTCCTTGAAGCGCAAGCAGGTGTCTCCAGGGAACGCCGCAGGGAGCGCCAGGCGCTGGGGGTGCGCGCCCCCGCACGGCCAGGTGGAGGCGCAGCAGACCCGCACCACGCGGGGCGCGGGAAGATGTCAGAAAAGGTGAGGATGGGCGAGCACGTGAGGCCAGAGTCCCCGCAGGCAGGCTCAGAGGACCGGTGCCCACGTGTGCCTTCGCCATGGGCTGCCTGCTGCGCAGGAGGCGGAGCTGCGGGGGGCGCCCTAAAGCCCCACGCAGGCTCCTGCGCCCTGGGAAGCAAAACATTTTCGCCCTGTGGGAAAAGCGGCAGCATCCGGGCCCAGGGCTTACACTGATTTATCGAAGGCTTCCTGCCCACGGCTCGCAAGGCTTCAGCACCCGAGAAAGGAGGTGCGCCCCACCGAGTCACCCCCCACCCCCCTCCGCCAGCCGGACAGACACCAGGTGAGAGACCGGAGCCCATGGCCACCGCAGAGCGGCAGGAGCCGGAGGAGACGCCCCTCCCCCGAGGCTCAGGCACCGGGGTAGCCAAGAGCTGCGGATGGGGCAGAGGTTCTAAGAGCCTCCCTCCTCCCCACCTGTCCCCGGGGGGTTCGGTCTCACTGACTGGTGTCCTCCAAAAAGCGACGTGAATTTATCATCCTCGTGGAGCTGCAAAGGCTGGGACCAGGGCCAGCCTGGCCCGGGGCTGGAGAGCACCGCGGCCGGGGGCAGACGCTGGCCTCCATCCCTGTGTCCCCACTCAGCAGCAAGCGAGAGGGCTGGCCCCCTGGCCTCCTCCGGAAAGAGCACCAACCCCCCGGCCAAAATGCGTCCCTCCTACCCTGCTTGCCCTGCCTCCAAATAATGCAGCGTGGGGGTAGGATTCCAGCACAGGACTTTGAGGGGACAGGCGTGGCGGCCAAGACGCTGTCCTGAGCAGAAGTTTGCCTGGGCCCCGTCTCCGAAGCCAGCCCACAGGCACAGCACCAGGGAAAATCCGGCCCGAGACGCTGGGTGACCGGTGCCACCTGCCCGTGAACGGACAAAGCAGGACGAGGCGGGGCCTCCCCACGCAGCGCGCTCAGACACGCCGCATCCTCTCCCCTTGAGGAGTCACCACGCCATTTGTTTCGCCGGACACGGCCAGTGCCCAGAGACGGGAAGACGTGTGTCTGCAGCCATCGACTGGACCGGCGCACTTCAAACTGGCCGTCCTGAGAAGGCACGGTGGCAAGCATGGGGCCGCCGGGCGTGTGAGGCGGCAGGCTCCGCGCACCCAGCAATCAGCTCTGCATCGTCGGCCGGCCGGTGCCTCTCCCCGGCTTCCCCGTGTCTCACTGCGAAGGAAGAGCGCTTCGGGCTGTCGGCGCGCAGGCGTCTACCGATAGACTCACACGAGAACCATCGCTCTGCCCCGGGCACTGAAGGAGCCGGCCACGGCTTCTTCCTGTTTGGGTTATCGAAACTTCTCTGCAGTCAGTCATCGCAAGGACTGCCACGGGAGATGAAAAACAGTCGCGTGGCTGCGGGGGTGGGCGCGCTTTGGCCGGCCCCCAGATGGAGAGGCTGGATTTTTGAGGGGGAATCACAGAAAGGAGCCTTCTTGCCCCAGGGGAGGAAGGCGATCCGAGCTGTTCCCAAACTGGCCTGGCTCGGCCCCTGGGACTCCAGTCCCCACCTGGAGCGTCTCCCGTCGGTCACAGCTGGGGGACCCTCCAGGGACGCGTGGAAGCCCGGCCCGCCTGACCCCTGAAGGTCATTCCGGCGCTGAACCTGCGGTTCTAGCGCTTTCAAATTGGCGTGTTTCGTTAAGTGAGCGGCCGTTTCAACACCTGGCCCATGCGAGGGTTGGTATTCTATTTTCCTTTACAGGCAAAGCGTGTCTCTCTTTCTGCTCCCACCAAACCGGAAAGCCAAACGTGAGAGACTATTAACATCCACCAAAATAGACATGTTCCAGAATCTTGGGGGTGATTGTGCAGAGGAAAAAGGACATTAGGGCCAGCGGCTTTAAGGGCCGGACGAGGGGCACAGGGTAGGGGTCACGGAGAAGCAGCCGGAAACTTACGGACGGCAGCAATCGAACCGACCGCCCCTTCGCACCCGACGGGATTCTGTCCTCATTAGACGGGTTCAAGGGCACGGCCCTTCCGTCGGGCGGCTGGGGAACCCGCAAAAACTCACCCTCTGGACACAGGACAGCTCCTTCGGAGTTCAAAGAGGAGACTTGAAGCCTGGCTTCCTGACAACATAAAAATAGTTCTGCCTCTGACCTTCGGGAGGCACCGTTTTATGGGAAAAACAGAGATCCGATCCAATCGAGGACTCACAGCATCATTGTTTTTCTTTTAAATGTGAGCTGTACATAAGGCTGTAGATTAGTGGCAATCAGCTAACAGGATCTTTTGTTTTCCCAGCACAGATGAGATGCTCGTCTCCGTGGCTCTCGTCCCCACGCCTCTGAGGACGAACAGCTCCTCTTTGCTATGAGCACGTCCGTGAAATGCCAAGGGTCCTCCATTCCGGCCGCACGCACGGACATTTTTGAAGAAACGAGCCTTTAGGAAAGCCAGTGGGTGGCATCCGCTGCCTGGAAAACGCACCCAGGGAGTCAACTGTCCATGGGAACGGAAACGTCTGCGGAGAGCAGAACCGGAGGGAGTGGCTGCCCCCCAACGTGTATCCTGTCCCCGCAACGGGAACGCTTCCAAGTTGCTCTCTGCGGTTTGGAAAAGGATGACAGGCTTTCTCAGAGCCCTCTAATGACAAGCGTTGATGCCCAGGCTGTGGGACCCAAGGCAGGAGAGATCGCAGCACAAATGAGTCAGAAAGCCGCCTTGTAAAAATGCACGTGATGGGTGCCGGCAAGTTTTTACGATGTTTTCCCAGCTTTTCCACAGGGGGGCGGCCGGGGCTGTTTGTTCCGGGACTGACCGGCTGCCAGGGGGCCAGGTCCACGTGAGGATGCGCGCAGCCGGCCGGCCGCCCCGGGCCCTCCGGGGCGAGCGCGTTGCTCGCAGCAAGGCCTCCCGTCCAGCCCCCGCTTGCTTTCGGGGTTGACACAGGCAGATGATCCCAAACAAAGCAGGCCACCTTCCAACCTCGGGCAACCTCCGAGGGCGCGTTCTGGCCGCCCAGAAGCTCGCTGAAGGAGCCGACCCTGGGGGTCTCGTGCAGAACACGTGGTTCACGCTGCGGCGCCCGGTCAGCGAAGACGGAAAGAACAGAAAGGACTCTCCTTGCTGCCGGTCCTGTCCCCAGCGCAGGGAAGAGAAGCGCAGGCCGCAGCCAAAATCCTGCCCCTGGTCCAGGAGAGACGGAAGCGCAGCCGTTGCCGCAGCGAAGCCTCACGCCACGGTGGCCGGGAGACGCACTAAGACGAGGGGCGACGCCTCCTGTCACCGTTCCCCTTCAAACGCCGCCACAAAGACAAGAGCCCGGTGCACCTGCTTTCTGTGGAGAGCCTGCAGGGACTCTCAGCCGCCCCATCTTCTGGGGCAGACTGAGGGGCACGGAGCACACACCTTGTCCCCCGCCACCTGCACTCCAGCCTGGTGGCCCACGTGCACGTGTGGGGCGCGCCATAGAGATCCCGGTGGCAGCTAGAAATTTCCACCAGGAGAAGCGGGCCTCTCCCCACTGCTTGGGTGTTGCCCGTCTCTCCTTGGGTCCAGTTCGTCAGGGACAGTGGAAGGAGAGAGGGGTCTGGCGGCGGGTGGCCGGCAGCCTAACCCCCTGCCGTCCG